AAAAGAATTAACAATAAATTTTTAGATTGTTCAAAAAGAAATAATTTATATGCTTTTTACACAAATAACACACACATATATATATCTAACTTACGAAAAAATTTCAAATTTGAATTTTATTTATCTATGTATTCATCGTTAACGACAATGGACTACCATAGATTAGGATAACATGAAAATATGCTCCAAGTGGTCCTTCTGTGTGAATGGGAACATGGACTTAAAAAGGAAAATTCCCTTCTGGAGAAACTACAGATGATTTTTCTTGGGTATTTGGTGCATCACAAAACTGGGGTTGGGTTAATGGGTAGAAGATGCCTTCTATTATATAGCACATTGATGGACCACCCTTTAATGTGTCTTTGATCTGGCTAGCAATGCAAAGGCTCTTTCAACCGAGTTAAAAGAGATGCCTTGGTCAAAAAGCCAAGTTACTGTGTATCCTCTTTTGAAATTGACCACCCATCTATGCCTCTAAGAAGTTCAATAGATTCTCTTGACTGGAAAAATTTTCAATTTTAGTACTAAATTATTTATTGGTTCAATTCAGTCCAAATCCACAGTGTTAACAAAGTTTACATTAGATTTGACCATATAATATATGTGGTTGAGGTTGAAAAAGCATAAATATCATTTATTTAGTAAGATACATTTCGAGTTTGAATCTTGGAACTAGTACCAAAAGATTTGGATAAAGAGGAGTTATTTTTTATTGTAATAGTAACAAAAGGCACCTTTTACATTATAGCTACAAATTTTACGGCAGAAGTCAGCGGATACAAACATCTAATTTTAACATGGTAATGGAGGCACTACTGGTTGATGAAAGCCTGAAGATGTGACAGCATTTCATTGATCCGAATTTGAGCTAACTGGTAATTATGCAGAATCTGAAATGCATGACCAACTCCTTTATAAATCTTTGTTTCCACTCTTTTGCCAGCACCAGCCAAGGCGGAGCAAAATTCCAAGTTCCTATCCTTCAGGATGTCCAGCTCTGATATGCAAACCATTGTTGCTTGAAGGTTCTGTTCATGCAACTTTGAAGCGCTGCCCTTTGCTAGCGGATTGCACCAGGGATGGTCACGGTTAACCCCTAAAGGCAGAGAGAGTCGCCAATATGTATCGGAAGCTGATAGAGTGAGTGCTGAGGAAGCTGGCTGAGCAGAATGCTTCTCTGATGCAGTTCTTGCCTCTCCTCCAAAGAAAGGTTGAATCAAGATGGTACCCTTGAGAAGCAAAGGCTTGATATTAACGGAATCGGATGCCACCCTCAGGGTTACATTGTAAGCTATATTGGCACCAGCACTGTCACCTGCTATGAACAAGTTGGAGAAATTGCAGCGACTTATCCACCAGTTTTGCTCATTAGACCCGCTTAGAGCTTGGTTTTTCACCCACATGAGAGCATGGACACCATCCTCATAAGCAGCAGGAAGTCTATTTTCTGGGGCTAGCCGGTAGTTCACTGTCAAGATTATGCAACCTGCCCTGGAAGCAAGTGAAGAAAGGAACTCATGGTAGCATCTCCAAGCAGCTGAGCCAACACAAAATCCGCCTCCATGGAAGTAAACAATCAAAGGCATCTTAGCAGCGCGGTTGCTTGGGACATAAATACGTCCCCAAGAGTTGGTCATTTTATCGATAACAACATCTCTTGCTATCATACCAACTTCCAGTGCCATGGTGCAGGGGACACTTGGGATGATTGGAGGCCTTTCAACATGCCCATCTTTGTAAACTTTGATGAGCCCTTGAATCTCATCAACAACAACACCATGATTGTTCTGTTTCTGCTCAACTTGAACATTAAGCCTAGGATCAAACGAAATGATGGCCATTCTTTTCTCTACTGGACTTATAATACAAAAAGATTGGTTTTTCTGAGGGGGTTGTGGTTCTGAGTCCTTGGAGGCCTCCTTATATAGAGACTGAGAAGGTTAGTTTTTCAAGGTTAGTTCAAAGAGAAAGCTTCTTCAACTTGTTGAAGGAAGGTTCCCCTACTTTTTATCTTACAAGTTGGCTAGTGAAGTCATCATAAATGAATCATCACGTGGAAACTAGTTAAAAGGTTTCATTTTCTATCTTCCTTTTAAAAAGAATAATTCAAAATTCTGAATTAGATTTATGCAACTTTTTTCTTCAATTCAAGCTAAGATTGCAGGTCCGTGTGAATATATCATACCACTAAAACCTTTCTATCTAAAAACCTTGCATCAAAACACAAGTCTTGGTCTTATCTAGGCATCAATACTGGTGCATCACTTGAAAATATGTCATTTCTATGAGAATTTCAAATCAGTTTTATCAGCCAAGATTTGACAATTACAGAAGAATATTGCATGAACTCGTCATTGTGAACTCAAAAGATTGAGCAATTTGCAATTCCAGGTCAACTCAAAAGATTTAGCATTTTCTAGAAGATAATAACATTTCAATAATCAATGCTGTTTAGCTTCAAAAGAATTTGCATTTCATGCAAACATTTGCACTTGCATAACCCTTCCTGATGGTTTAGAACCCATCAAGGGAAAAGAGGCAAATAATGCAGCTAATAATGGTACCTCTTCCATATCGTGAAGGGGTAGGACAATCTCTTCTGACTCGTATGTCCAAACACTGTTCCCAACAACAGTGAATAATTGATTGCTAGCTTGCAAGTACATGCAAATAGACAGCCAACTTTATTTTCAAAATCAGCACATCTCTTTGTTTGCTTTTCAAACTCTGTACATCAGGACATTGATCTTCTCATATCTTTCAGCTATATCTTCCTTTTGGAATCTGTGGACAAAAATTCAGATCTTCTCGATATCTGCTTACTTGTGGAAGATAAAGATCATTGAATAACGATGACAACAATATATCCTTTGATGATGCATTCCATTTAAGACATTTAGCTAAGTCAATGACGCTAAATTCCTTCAAGAGGTAATTCTTCATTAGCACAAGGTATTCGGTATTTGTAGAAGGAAAAAAGATGAAGAAATACTAAGCATGTCTAAAAGGGGTAGAGAATTTTCAAGATATTGTTCTGTGTACTTGGCTTGGAATCTTTACCCTGCGTCCACCTTTTGAGGCTTCACTATTCTTCAACAAAGTTTTTTGGCAGAACATAACCCATTCCTCCAATACCTTATTCTCCTTCTGTATGTCAGAGATAATTTCAAACCTTAACTGATACTCTAATACGGATTAGAGCTATCCTAATGAAACAAAGAAGTTTCAAAACTATAACAATATACATGCTAGCTAAAATAAAATCCACGTTGGCCATTTACCTAGTGACCTAGCTGTAATCTCCTACCTCCTGAAAATAGAGGTCCTTGGTTTGATCTTGGTATCACTGTATTGTGACTGAATGGGAAAAGGTTACCTTGCAAACATTGAATCAACTGCATACAGGATCAGCGATATGGGCATGCAGATTCTTTACGCTGCCACCCTGTGGGACATAGCTGAGGTACCAGATAAAAAGGAGGACCTGATGTTGAAAGGAAGAAGACTACAGAAGATGTGGTTTTTGATCCTCTTTGAGAAAAACTTTGTACTAACCAGCTTCTGGAAGTGGAATTAGGTCTAGCATCCGGTTTTTCAAGAGAATAAGTGACAATTCAGACCATTGGAATGAAAAAGAGTAAGAAGCCAATAATAAACAAATGACTTTAAAATGAGTAATACCTGAACAATATGATAGTCCAATATGCTCTTAGCATGCAGTATTCTTTTCAAACAGGTGGAGGATCACTTGAAACAGAATGCTTAAATTCTATTTGTGCTGACTGGGGTTCCTGGGTTGATTGCTTCTTTACCTTCCAGTTAACTTTGCTTACAAAAAATTCAATCTTCAGTAGGTCCCATCAAAAGAATACTTTAGATATTTCATATTATAAAGATATGTAAAGATATTAAAATAAATCTAATATGCCTTAGTTACTTCAACACTAGTTTCTGGTTCAAAATCCATTTAACTTGGTCCTTAATTCACCTGAACCAAAATTTCAACTTTGAGAGATCTTTCAATGAGAAGCAAGGAGCCATTGGCTCACATTCACCTCACATAACTCCCATGATGGAAAAAGTTTAGATTCTTTTCATCCTTAATTTCACCAGTATAGAAGAGATAGGTCTCTGAAGCAAAGGGATATGCAAATGGGTTTCAACTTTATTCTTCAAATATGCTTCTCTTTTCCATACTTCTTTTTTGACCACCTGCACAATGCAAATTTGCAGCCAAGCTGTTCACAATCAAAAGACAAAGCATTTGGTGAGAGAATCGCTCGTTCCTCATCACAGATATCTTGTAGATATCCCCTTCAGTTGCACCAAAACAGGACAAACAGAAAGTGAAGGTGTATCCTGCACAAAGTATATCTTTTCAGTAGTAGCACCATTTTCAGTTTCCTGTAGAACAACATTAGTTAATTCCTAAATTAATGTAGTTTAAATTTAGTAATTTACAATTTCTTCATATAAGAATTTTTTTCATATAAATTACTCCAAAATTGTCATTTCAATAGAATACCATAAAAAAAGACTAAAACACTTGAATTATTGCTTTAAAAACAAAAATTTTTGGTTTTTTTTTTCAATTAAAATTTATTGAAACAATATAGATTTAGAGTATTTTTTTCTCCTAAATTTTTAGAGCTCCCCGGTGATAAACACAAGATTTGAACCTCAAACCTCTCCCTCCTACAGGCAAGAGCAACAACAAGAATAAACCTGAATTTGGAAAGTAGTACACTTTTTTTTTCATTTTTTTTTTCTTTTTTGATGAAATTGGAATTCAACTAGAGACCTTTCATTTGCTGATTTATCTATTTTGCACATAAGCACAGCCACGGCATTGAGAACACAAGCAACACACACTTGTACATCATTACCGTGGCCAAATATTCACATTACAAAGTAAGCTAATGAACTCACAACTCACAAGTATACAACCTTTGATCATTCCATCTGAAATTCACACTGCAATAAATATGTTTGCTTCTGTTCTAGGCAGATCCTAACAATTTTGTTTTGCTCCATCAAAGTAAAAGGAATTAGAAGATGGGAAAGATGATTAGCCAACGGATCACCAGAGTTGAGAGTTCTCCTATTGTCACAGCAATAGATTTTGAAGATCAACTAGAGTCAATGGGAGCAGCAGGAGTATCACCGGATTTGCTTGCAACTTCAGGGGTGGCTCCTGCATTCATCTGACTGAAACTTCGCTTCTTTGATTTAGAGTTTGAATTCTCCCTTTTCTTTTCATTTTCCTTCTCCTTTCCTTTTCGTTTCTCACCCTCAGTTTCTTCATCAGGTTGGCATTCATCATTATGATGAGGGAATAGTGGAGGTTCCTTGCCACTTAATCGACAAAATACTCTTTCAACTGTTTCACTTATTTCCTTCCCAAGCCCATTGTTGTCAAGGATTAGGTCCCAAACTGATTTTGAGGCCTTCTCAAGTGCAGGGGTTCTGCCAAATGAATGACAAAAATTTATCAACTTAAAAGTGTGAAAGCATAAAAGAAAATTTAACAAATGGGAATAATAATTTACTTTCAAGTTTCAAAGATTTGAAACCATGTAAGGATTGCTGAACTTAGGAAATAGCAAATATTTCTGGTTTAGTTTAGCTTTGCGAAATTTGAGACATTGGACATAACACCAGTTTTTGAATTTTAAGTGCAGTAATCCTTTCAGTCAACCTAAGCAAGAGTAAAGACTTGTGCATCTTTTGCCAAAAATCTTTCAATCCAAAAGCACAAACCAATACCTATGGTTCATGGAATTTTCCTTATATTAAGAACATGCCCTTTTATCCAAAAGAATGGGGGTACCAACGCTTGAAGTCTGCACCATTTTGTCAAATCAACTCTGATATCATGTCAAGTAGCACTGAAACTGGATGCCTAAGATGATAGTTAAGTGACACCAGCCTATATATGTTTTAATGTTTCCTAATACCCATTATCTTCTGAAACAAAAATTGACCAAGTAAAACTGCCTAGGACTACCATCTCTTCTTTGGCTAGAAGTCTCCTCTGAACCATGTATTTCCCCATTCTATCCTGGTCCAATCTTTTGAACTACCTTAGCAAGAAATTCAAGAGGAAATCCTTATATCACACATTGGTGAGAATTGTGATAAGCTTTTGCTGCATCAGTTTAATGCATACGGTGTGAAAGGAACAGAGGATTTCACCAGAGTTTCTACAAGCAGGAAGCTGAGATTGTTGCGGAAATTGTAAATGCCTCAAGGGATAGAATTTTGAGTTTTGCACCATCCAAAACCTCCCCATGGTGAGCACTGAAGCTTTACATGGGAGGCTAGCTAGAATCTCTTGTACAGTTTTAGATTAGCTCTGTTTTAACTGTAAAGTAGTTGCAGAGGTTCTTTAGTAGCTGTAGCAGCCTGTTCTGTGGAGCTGCTGTATAAATCACATTTAGGCTTAATGAAAATTTACATTTCATTAAAAAAAAACTGCCTAGGACCATTATTGATAAAATCCTCTTTGCAGCAACAAGAGATATAACTTTGCAGAAATAACAAGATATAAAAAACAGCAACACTTACTCAAGTTCCTGTCGCAGTGAGTCAAACAATTCTCTTTTGGTTTGTTTCTCTGCTCCAGGAGTATTGAGGACTTTACTTTGTTCCACCATTTTAACTGTTGTATTCTTTAGTTCTTCCTGTAACAGCAATAAAACATAAAGCATAGATATCAATTCTTTAGCATATTATATGCTAGTTACGTATCTCAGTAACAATCCTAGAGAATGCGAAACTTATGCTAGAACAAAGTTGTCAATGTCCGCCTCAGTTCCACAAATTGAATTTACATGCACTGATACATGGCATCAGAACCAGCAACCCAGTTGGATGTTGGAACCAAAATTTGCTCTAATAGGAATCTAAATTTCATTTAATGAGTCATATAACAATTTAACATGTAACTCATAAAACTAACACCAAGGAAATAATGCTGAGCCAAGTAAGACTAGCGTATAACCAAGTGTGGCTTCAAAATGGTTGGATGTTGGAACCAAACACAAAGGACATGACTGAACTAGCTAACTCTTCATGACAAAACCCACATTTCAATTGCATTTCTCAAGAAGAGTGACTTGGGAAATGAAAAAAAGAACAAGGTAAGATAGCTAGAAGGTGACTGCTATTGGTGTGTTGTTGAGAAAGAAAGAGACTAACATTGGCTTTGAGCTGGTTGATGATCTTCGATCTGAGAGCATCAATGGTTCCATCATTCATGAGAGACTCCAACACATCTTCTGGGGTAATTACTGAAGAAGATGACGCCATTTTGCATTCACTCCCTTCCACACCTGCCAAGGAGAAAAAAAAAATTCAATCTTTATCAGTTAAATCATAGTTCTCGCACAAAATTTACACTGAGGTTACACAAAGGTTGGAGCTTTGAAAAAGAACGAGCTTCGAATCATGGTTTTTTTTTCCAAATTCAAAGGAAAAGGAAATAATAAACGCCGAGAGTGAACGTTACAACCATCGATTATATAGGGTACCTTCTGCAGGCTGTTTCGACGGATTCGGTTGATTCTGGTTGTTTTGGCTCATCTGTTGCTCTGATTTTTGAGAGAATTAAGTTGATAATAATGAAGGATGATGGATTAAGTAAGAAGGATGGGAATACGAACGTCGGCGCCCGTCGTCGTCGCCCGTCGTCGTCGTCCGTCTTGCTGGTGCTGTTCTTCGACGGCAATTGTAAACAAAGGGAATTCGGATTCTGGATCTGCAACAATCCAATAAAGAACTTGGACCCGTTTCTGTTAAGCAAAAACCATTGTTAAGCCCTTAGACTTTTTCCATCCTCTCACATAAGCCCTAAAAAGAAAAAAATGTCGAGTGAACCCCTAAATGCCAAGGATTTGTGTAAATTAACCACTATGTAAATGGCAAAGTCACTTGTGGTAATGTAAGTTCAACAATTGTTTGTCTTTTCACTTGCATGACTATTCCTTTACACACAAGTGTTGATGTGATACAAGACTCAATCGTTTAACTCTTATTTCCTTTGTTTCACATTATGAGACATTTTAAACTTTTGCACATTGATTAAGAAAAGCAATTCATTACTTTTGAATTTAAAGATATATAAGTTTAAAGTAGCATTTTACCCTTTTAATATTTTATCATATTTAAATTTAATCTTCCAAAATGATTATCTCTTCTTTTTCTTCGTTTTTTTATCACAGTATGATTCTCTTTCATTGATTTTTTTTAGATGTTTCCAATTTTGAAATCATTTCACCCCCAACATTAAGAGCGTATACCCATATTTGCACAAAATCCATGGCAAGCAAGTCACTTCATTTTTTTACTTCTATTTCATGGTTTAAACCCAACTTTATAATGGGTTTTTGTTAGCCTCATTTTTTGACTATTCTTCATTGTTCTCAAGACTACAACCAACTCCTCCTCATCTTCTCCTCTGCCTCACTAGATTCTTCCAAATCCTCCTCTCCAATCCATGATGGCAACAACTTCTACACTCCTCTCAAATGCCACCATCCTTTGTCCTCATCCCTTTTGTTGCCTTTTCTCAATTTATTTCCTTTCGGATCCCTTTAAAAAGCCCCTTCATAAGTGTGTTCTCATCGTTCAATCAAATATGAGAGAGATGTCCATGCTTAACCTTAGATCCACCATGGCTAAGGCAAGATTGTTTTCATAATCAAATCCAAAGGCAATAAGCTCTCTAATAGGTGCCACCATTAAGACATAGGAAAAATAAGGTTGGCTTGTAGATGAAAGAGAAAATGAAATATGAAAAATGGATTCTTTTACAAAAGAAAGATAAGCTGAAAGAGGAAAAATGAAATTGGATCACTAAAGAGATAAAAGTGAAATGAGAAAAAAATGAACTTCAAAAGAAAAGGGAAATGAGAAAAAAAAGGGGTAGATGAGTTAGTGGAGGAGTACATTTTACGAGAGAAGGGCAAATTTGAAAAAAAAAGGTAATTAATATGACATTAATATGCTTAAATGTTAGCTATTTAGCAACAAAAATTTCTCTTCATAACAACTAATAATGTGGAACAAATGGAGTAATTTTGAAAATTTTGAGTTATATACTTCAAATAATTGAATATAAAGTATACACCAACGTTTAAGTGTAAACGAATTTCCATGCAAACAAAACAAAAAATGATTGTTTAACTTATATAGACGAATGTGATTCTATTGTTAATACAAGGGTTAATTTGCCCAAATTCTAGCATTTAGGGGTTACATGACACTTTTTTTTCTTTGAGAGCTTATGTAAGAAAATATGAAAAGTATAGGGGCTTAACATTGGGTTTTGTCTTTATGCTATATCCCTTTTAGCAAACAAACGGCGCCGCATCAATTTTAACAAAAAAAAAAAACAAAAAACAAAAAACAAAATACAAAACAAAACAAAACAAAACGGCGCGTATCATCCGCCAGACGGTAATCAAAGTAATCTTCATATTCGCAGGACAGGAAGTTCCAGAAAGCCCTAAAAAGCTTCGTCCGGTTCCACTGTCCCAATTTACAATAGAATCAGAAGGGACGTTTCCTTCTCCGGCATTTCACAGCGCACTCCCACCCTTCTCCGTTTGTCTCCGGCAACGCCAAGTAGAAGAAGATGTCGCTGCGAGTGTTGAATCCAAATGCGGAGGTGCTCAACAAATCGGCGGCGCTGCACATGAACATCAACGCCGCCAAGGGCTTGCAGGACGTTCTCAAGACTAACCTCGGTCCCAAGGGCACCATCAAGATGTACGCATATGTTCACAACTCAGATGCCTAGATATCGTCCTCTTTTCTCCATTTGCTTGCTAGTTGCTTCACTTTCTAATATCTCTCTGTTTCGACAGGCTTGTTGGTGGAGCCGGCGATATCAAGATCACCAAGGATGGCAACACTCTTTTAAAAGAAATGGTAACTTCTCATTCGCTTCTTCGGTTCTCTTGTTTCTGCTAATTCATGTTCCTTCGTTTTTTCTTTTTTTATTATAGAGCTAAAAAAATCCTAGATCTTTCGATCTGTTTGCTATATTAAACTGTTTAAGGAACTGCAGCTTAGGGTACTAGGAACTCTGCAGCTTTTTGGGGATGGCATTGACAATCTTTTAATTCTCTCAGTTTTTAGTATTTCAGTTTAATGTTAATGGATAAGAAGGGTTTTGGGACATGGACTGTGGTTGACTGATGTTTTTCATAATTTCTGCAGCAAATTCAAAATCCAACAGCTATCATGATTGCAAGGACTGCTGTTGCACAAGATGACATAAGTGGAGATGGTACTACATCAACTGTGATCTTCATTGGGGAGCTTATGAAACAATCAGAGCGGTACATTGATGAAGGTTGGTGGTAGCATCTATGTATTTGAAGACACCAACTTAGTTGAAAAAATGGAATGGAAAATTTTGTGCTAAGAGTAAAGTTTGAAAACTTTGAATCCTTGCAACTTTCTTCAAAGCTCTCTTTTATTATGGCCTTGAAGTTATCTCTTGCGTTTCTAACTTGACATTGTATTGTATTGTGTTCTTGACATGAAGCTTATGGTCCTTATAAACATTTTCCTTTTCTAGTGAGGGTTAAGGCTACTCTTTGTAGGATTTTACAGTGGTCGAATGATAAAAAGACTTTTAGTCCAGCTGCTTGTTGACACAACTGAATGCTAATTGATCAGTTCTTAGTCTATAACCAAATAGTATTTATTTTCTTTGGTCTGTCATTTGAAAACAAAGCAAGGTAGTGGTCAAAGATGAAACCAAAACCATGTTTGTCCTACTCATGGGAAGCTGACATAGAACTTTTCCAAATTTATCCATATTTAGTTTTAATATCAGTAGTCACTACTTGAAATGGGAAAACAAATGGTTATGATTTATCAGAAATTTCAGTTTTTTCTTAAAATCTAACACAGACCCATTGTATTAATGGTTCTGAGAAGGGGGCATGTCTATTTTTATAGTAGCATTTTTATTTTAAAGAAAAAGCTAAATTCATTTTTTTTTTTTTATGTACAATAATATTGATGCTGGTTTTAGGGATGCACCCACGGGTCCTGGTTGATGGTTTTGAGATTGCCAAAAGGGCTACACTCCAGTTCCTTGAAAAGTTTAAGACTCCTGTTGTGATGGGAAATGAACCTGACAAAGAAATCCTGAAAATGGTTGCAAGAACAACACTTCGAACTAAGGTATGTTTCATTTATGTTATTATCCCTCTCCCTTCTGGTTTCTACAGTAGTTTTCTTGTGACTGACATTTTGTTTCCTTTCACAGTTATACGAAGCATTGGCTGATCAGTTGACTGACATAGTTGTTAATGCGGTAGGTAGATTTAGTAGTGTTGAGATCTAATCTCTCTGCCAGGGATCTTAGGCTTATTTCATTATTAATGATTTTATTTTTGATCTTTGTGAACTGGTTAAACTTTGAGTGATTCATACTTTGATTTGAATGTTTCAGGTGCTCTGCATCAGAAAACCTGAGGAACCTATAGATCTCTTTATGGTGGAAATTATGCACATGCGCCATAAGTTTGATGTTGACACACGTCTGGTATGTTAATATTTCCTTCACATTGACTCGAAGACAACCTCAATATAAAGCCACAAAAGAGAACCATTTACTAAATTAAAATCAATATGAGATAACATCATAACACCATACGTTGAGTGTGTGTTTTATGAAATCAAAGTTTGCTATGAAATACCATGGTTAGGAACTCATGAAAGTGCTTGTCAGTTACTTAGCTTAGCTCTTAAGAATTAAAAATGCATTCAATTTTACTTTTTAGCTTTTTTTTTTCTCTCTTTCAATCAAGGTTTAGATGCCATACCTAGAGGCCAAGGGCTAAGATCTTTATAGCGATTTAGGTTGCTTCTGTTTGTCTTTTTGCTCTATGCCTTACACCATATTTCAGATTTTAAAGTTACTTTTCTTGCCTTGTAGGTTGAGGGTCTTGTCCTTGACCATGGTTCTAGGCATCCTGATATGAAGCGACGAGCAGAGAATTGTTACATTTTGACATGCAATGTGTCTTTGGAATATGAGAAAAGGTTCTCACATACAAATTTATCCAATCTCAGTAGAAAAATTAATATAATGAGAGCTAATTTCTACTATAAGGAAATAATGGATAAATTTCTTTGCTCCAAAATAGCTCTCATCCATATTATGAGAGCTAATTTCTTCCCTTATGCTTTATTGCTCCAAAATAGAAAAATTAATATAATGGGTTTTATCTGCAGTGAAATAAATGCAGGCTTTTTCTACTCAAATGCAGAGCAGAGAGAGGCAATGGTTGCAGCTGAAAGGAGATCTGTTGATGAGAGAGTCCAAAAAATTATTGATTTGAAAAATGAGGTAGGATTTTGGAAGTCATCATTATGAAGTTCACCTGCATGGCATTATTGCAGCTGGTGTAAGTGTTTTCTTAATGTGTCCAAATCTTCTGGTTATGTGCAGGTTTGTGCAGGCAATGACAATAATTTTGTTGTTATCAATCAGAAGGGTATTGATCCACCTTCATTGCATCTGCTTCAACAGGCAGGGGTATGTTATGAATATTTCACGTTTTTTTTGCTTAGCTTCGGAGCTTTCATGGCATGCTACTTGATTGGTATACAAATATAAGTACACAATTGATTCGTGTTAACTAATTTTAGTTCACCACAAATCAATTTTCTGTTAGTAGTAAGTAAAACCTTCATTGAATTGATTTTTCCATTTTCCTGCCACAAGCTTCTTTAAGATAAGTGCGCCTAAGATCATTAGCCAGTAGTTCTCCATCACTTCATTCAATTTAAGTCCAACTGAATGGTTTGCAGATTGTTGCGCTTAGACGAGCAAAGAGAAGAAATATGGAAAGATTGGTTTTGGCTTGTGGAGGAGAAGCTGTAAATTCTGTTGACGATTTAACACCTGATTGTCTTGGGTGGGCTGGACTTGTCTATGAGCATGTCCTTGGGGAAGAAAGATATACTTTTGTGGAAAATGTGAAGAATCCTCATTCTTGCACAATTTTAATCAAAGGTACTTGAAAGTTTCTTGTCCTTTCATGTAACATTTATAATTTTAACTTCATCAGTATTGTTGCTTATGCAACATTCGCTAGCCTGCTGTCCTTGCTGATTCCATAGAAATCTATTTTCAACAATACAGGCCCTAATGACCATACAATTGCCCAAATTAAGGATGCTGTTCGTGATGGACTCAGAGCAGTCAAGAATACTATTGAAGATGAAGCTGTTGTGTTAGTGAGTTCTGCTTAGTTAAAGAATTTACTCTGCATGTTGTGTCCGTTCATTCCCCTACTAACTGATTCACATTATGATTTTTCAAACAGCCCTTTGCTGCCGCTTTATTAGAATAGTAAGGTTTTAAACATTTTTGTATCTGGAGAAAGATGATACTGTGAATGCCTATTCGTAAAACTTTAATGTTCCTAGACTGAAAGTGATCATACTATCTAAGAACCATTTTCAGCAATGAAGATAGTTGATTTGATGAGAGCTCAGTCTGCAGAGATCAAAATTATATGTGGTTGTTTGGAGTTGAATAGGAGTAGGACCTGTAATTCTGGTAGAGAATGATTCATAAAACCAGCATCTATGGAAATTCTGAGTTTCTAGGTACCATTGAGAAGGGAAAGCTTTGAAAACTTCCATCTTGGGTTCTTATGCATATGCATGCTGTTTTTCAGGGTGCTGGAGCTTTTGAAGTTGCTGCCAGACAGTACTTGGTTAATGAAGTGAAAAAAACCGTACAGGGGGTATGTAGACAAGGTTTCCCATTTTTGAAAGTATTGAAAAACACTTCTTGAAAAGTTTCTAATTTTTGAAATCATGGAGCAGCGTGCTCAATTGGGTGTTGAAGCTTTTGCTGATGCCCTTCTAGTGGTGCCCAAGACACTTGCTGAGAACTCTGGGCTTGACACTCAGGATGTGATCATTGGTCTAACGGTATTCACATCTCTCATCTGTGTTTAGTCTAGCTCTTCTTTAGTGGTAAAATTTGGAGAACTAATAATTTGAGTATTTTCTTGAATGTTTATTCAGGGAGAGCACGACAGGGGTAATGTTGTGGGATTGAACCATCACAATGGGGAACCTCTTGATCCCCAAATGGAGGGTATATTTGACAACTACTCTGTGAAGCGCCAAATTATAAACTCAGGGTAAGAAAAACTAGTTCTCAGATTTTAAAATTTCACCCCTTTCTTCCCTTGTACCCATTTCCATGCAGTCATCTTAATATTTTCTCCTCTTCTCAACATATGTTTGGTTCTTGCATTTATTTTCTAGCCAAGGCCCTACCTCACCCTCCTCAATATTCCTTTATCTGTTCTTGCGTGGTGACAAAGTGAGACGAAAAAGAGCAGTTTGATATGTCAACTTGCTGCAACTTGGCTCCCCCGTTCTCTCCGACACCATAGTCCCCCTCCCAACATACAGAAACATTTGACTTGCATAAGTTTGTCTGTCTTTGGCTTTGCTAACTACCATGATACTTTTTATTGCAGGCCTGTAATCGCATCACAGTTACTACTGGTAGATGAAGTCATCCGCGCTGGCCGCAACATGCGGAAGCCAACTTAGTTCTGATGACTTGCTCGGATTATTACCTTTTGGTATATGGATGATTCTGTTCTGTATTATGGCTGTGTTATGGATGGTAAAACTTGGGGGGTTGTGCTTGTGCTTGAAATTTTTGAAGAGCGGGAATCTCAATTCCCGAGTGTTCAATTAGTTTTCCGTTGAAATGAACATGTTTTTGCCAATTCCGATTAGGCCTTCGCATTTCATATCAACCATTGGTCCATTGCTACATATTACCAGAAGCCAATTTACATGCGGCAGGGGCTTACAGTTCACGAATTGCTGAGGGTGCAAGCCGAAACAAATCACTTAAACCCTATTTTGTCGCGAATTATCTATTTTACAATTTAGATTGTCATAAATTATAAAATAAAAGTTATTAAATAGGAGATA